TCTGTCCCGGGTGCTCTGCGTACCCTAAAGACAGTAAGAGGTGGGTTGAAATAGGCAGGTGTCATCTGTCGCTGGGGGAAAGTTGTCAGTCGACTGAAAAGGTGCCAAAACAGGTCAAATCCCCAAATCCCAACCTTGGGCGACAGCAAGGTTGAGACTGCGCTTCCTGAGACCGCTGGAGGCCTAAGCGCATTAGCTGTTTCTGGGGATTAATCTCTTGGCATGAGTTGAGTGGAAACATCGTGTCTCTAGCAACTTTTGCTAGCAAGTCTGACTCGGTGACCGCAGGGATCGAGTAGGGCCCCAGGGCTGCCAGGCTCTGTGAGATGCCACGGCTGTCCCACCGGCACGGAGGTGGCCCCAAAGTGTAGCCTGCCCCCTCCGTCCCTGAGGGGGGCACCCATGGGTGCTCTCGGGGTGGATGAGGGAGGTTTGCTTTGAGCTTGGCTGTTGATGGCAGTGGAGTGACACAGGCAGATTTAACGAGTGGGAAGCCCAGGCTCATGGTCCCTCCTGTGCCCACAGCCTGCACCGACAAGGAGCTGCGGAGCCTGGCCGCCCGCCTGAAGGACTGGTTTGGAGCCCTGCACGAGGATGCCAACAGGGTCATCAAGCCCACCAGCTCCGACACGGCGCAAGGCAGTAAGTCCTCTCTGCTGTGCTTTGTCTGGATTGACACATTCACTCATGCTACTGCTGGGTGAGCCCCTGCGCTTTGGGATGGAGAATGGCTTAAAACATGTGCCCCAAATCGGAAATACTAAAACACGGAGAAGGGGGGCATGTCTTAAAATCAAGAAAACTCAGCCTATACGTTTTAGCACCTGGTGGCAGACATCACCATGTGTCTAGACATTCTGAAAAATACATTAAACAGGTATAGAAGCAAAAGAAATGGTAACAGTAACGGAACAGTAACTACGTGACTGGGTCCATTTTGGTTTTGCCCTGGTCATAAAGGAAGAGCTGACACAGCAAGCGTGTGTCTACAGTCCCTACGTGAACACGTGCGCTCATAGCTCGAACGCCTTAGGGCCCGTAGCACTGCGCAGGCCTGTCCCTCCTGCCTGGTGAGCGTGACCGAGCCTCACGATAGCTGTGTGACTGGCCCTTCACGGCGGAGTGCGACCCCGCGTCCGTCCGCCATAAGCAGCGCTGCTAACCTCTGTACATTAACCAGACTGCTTTGTTTCCATGGGTGTCGTAGGTTCCAGGTAAGTGTCCCCTCCTGTCACTGCCTCGGCAGAGACCCCACTAAGAGTGGCCCCGTGTTGCCTGTGGCCCCAGGCAGGCGCCTCTGCACGGGCCATCGGCACGGAATGGCCACTCACGTGAATTCCCCACGTTTCCTCCACGAGCACGCTGATTGCTTTGTCCCACTCTGACCGTGTGCCGCTGTTGTTCAGAGTGTACATATCCCGGCCCACGCCAAGTACACTCAGGCTGTCTGAGTGTGGCATTCTCGGTTGAGGGAAGCAGGGAGGAAGCCACTCGGGTAAGCTGCGGACCGAGTCTAACCAGCACCCAACCGCCTCCAGCTAAGTACTGTGCTGCCTGCCTTTCTGGCCATTCCGTGCTGTGCGTGGCTGTGGGGACCGAGAGAGAATGTTGAGCCAGGGGACAATTATTTCATGACTTTGAATATTTAAGGGAGATGGAGCTTGTTTTCCACACTCTGTCCTCCAGAGAGTGGTCATTGGGGGCTGTGTAAGTGGGAAGGGGAGAGAGAGTTCTTCCCTTCCTGCCAGCGATTTCCTTGGGGGTTTGTGGGCTTGCAGTTCACACATGGTCTAAAGAAACTTGTCAGGCGCCCTCCCCCGCTCTGCGCAGCGGAGACTGATGTGCGGAGAGCTGCTTCTCTGCAGTCTCCAGTCTAGGGGGACCCGCTTGCAAGCAGCTGAGGGAGACCTGTCCTTGCCCAAGAACAAATTAAGTCCCCGAGGAGACATTAGCCTTGATGTCCTGAAGTGACTGCTGTGACGGGAATGGAGAGGACGACACTTGGTTAGAACATGAGGCCACAGGTGAGAGAGACATTTCCATCAGGACAGGAGTTCTGAAGGAGAAACCAGGGAGTCTTCGGGATTCACATGCTCGGGGCCACCCAGGTCCTGTTCTTCACCTTCCTCTCCCAGATGTCACCTGTAGGTGCCTTTCCAGAACCTTCCAAAGGCAGGAGAGATGGGCTTGACCTTTTTTGACTATTCCCAGACCAGCAGCAGAGCCCGCTTTCCCATCTTAAAATGTTAATACCCTATGAAATGGGTACCTCTTGCATAATAGATTCTCTATGAACGTGTCAGGGTAAGTGACCCTCCATCCTCGTGAGCCCCTGAGGGCTCCTCACAGAGACTGTGGCATCCTGATGCTGTCAAAGGAGAGGCCACACGATTCTGAAAGTCTCTCCTCTGGAAAAAAAGGGGAGGTTTCTTTTATATGGAAAGCTTTTTATATCTGAAGCATTTTTGCAAGAGGAAACTGAAACTCATCAAAGAGTCTCAGTGAACACTTACTATATGCCTGCATTGGCTGCACCGAGACAGTCCAGCCCTGGGGGCCAAGCTCTCCTGGGCTTTGACCAGGAGCTACTATGCAGTGGCCTTGGGGAGCTCAGAGGTGGGGTTGTCGCCCCAGTTTTACTGGCTTCGGAATAGTGAGGACCCTTTCATAGACCGTTGTACTCAGGTATCTGTGGGGTCAAGTACCCCCACCCTCTGGTGGGGCGAGTCGTCCACATGGCCATCGCCAGTGTTGGGGGTAGTAGTTCAGATTATGTAACGTGAGCGTCGGGAACGCACGTACACTGCAAGGATTCCACCCTCGACGTGGAGGGCGGGGTGTGGATCTTAGTCACAGGGAAAGGGTGAGCAGCAAGGAGTGAAGCGCAGGCTTCGCAGCTCCTCTGCACACAGAGGTTTCTCGGAGTGGGTATTTGTCTCTGGGTATCTGCCCACATCTACAGTGTTCTGGGCAGGGCCCCCACTGACCTCAGCTCAGAGTAATGTGGGCATCAGAGCAGGGTATCCTGAGGAGGCCGGTTCTGAGCACTTGGGTACCCCAGTGTGTAACAACGGCCCCTGGTGAGGCCATGGAAGGGCAGTGGCCAGGCTCTGAGTAGTGTCTACTTCAAAGTTCAGGAAGCACTTACTTGCTTCCTGGATCTTGGCTGCTGTACTGATAGGAGAAGCCAGATACTGTGCAAATAATAGATGTAAGAAAATAACTAGCCCTCCTCCCCCCACCCTAAAAAAAAGAAAGATGGTGTTGAGCTAGGAGAAAAAATCCACAAAGTAATTAAAAAGCAAAGCACTTTGCTTTGGTTATGAAAGTATTGCATTAGGGCGAAGAAATAGAAAACCCGTCATGTACCCCAAGGAGGGACAATGTGAGGTTTTAATGGGGGCAGAGAGGCAGAGGCTGCAGAGCGTGAGCAGGCTCCCACTGTGACACAAGTGGATGCTGCCTCCAGCTGAAAAGCCATCACAGAGGGCTCTGACAATGGTTTGCTCGATGGTTTCTTAACACAATTGTTTCTGACCCGCTCCAAACTAGACAGGTAGTGGAACTTCTCTGTAAATAGCTCTCTGGCGACATTTTAAAATCGTTTTACAGATGCCAGCTTTTCACTGTAGAAACCCCAGGAATAGGTCAGTGTGTCCCCTCACAAGGCGCTGGCCAACTGAAGTGTCCTGGGGCGGGGGCCACCCAGGACAGGTGGGGTTGAGTACACACTAGGGGTT